TTCTTTTCATAGATAGGTTTGCCAGATAGGTTCTAAACCTTTACGGGCAGGCCATACCACCGAACCTCCTGGCCTTTGCAAAGTTCGTTCTGATCCCGATATTCACATCAAGTCGGTCCTTATACTGATCCCTTTCTAACTACCAAACTAGTTAGTCTGGATGGGTTATTATATCTAGGCTTTAAGTATTTTTCGGTTTTACTTTTCTTGGTTTCTAATTCTGTAGTATAGGACCTTTTCCTCTGGTGTGACTCCAGCAGCCAGGTTGATAGACCCTTCTTGCCTCAGAGTTTTTGTTCGGTTCTTTGGTCTCTGGTTTCCGACTTTCTACAGTATCGTCAAAGATCATCACTATTTTCTTACTTGGGTCTTGCCAAATGGGTTTTAATTATTCTGGTTCCTTGGATTTGGATCGGCCAAGAGCTTTCATTTTAAGATAGTAGTATCAAGATTACAGGTAATATACCCAATCAATCATTGAATAATTGTTACCGGTATACAGGCCTATTTTTCTAAAAACGTCTCCGGTGAGATTCGAACTCTAGACCTGCCACTTGGGGGATGACAACTTAACCACTACTCTAAGTCGTCACATCCAGAAGAAAAGGTTATAACCAATAATTTTATAGATAAAAGATAGATTTATTAATTCAGATAATACTCAAAAGAATAATACTGATAAAACAAATATATAACTCAAGAAAAATATAATAATTCTAAAAAAAATATTACAGAAAAGAGACTTATTCCCAACAAAGATTAGGATGCTGACAGATATTATGTAATATTTTTAGAGGGGGAGGGGAGTAGCTGAATATAATATTATATATATATTTTATATATAATATGATATGATGTAGGAGAGGGAAATAACCCCTTAATAAAAAAAATTATGTAATAAATGTCATAGTCCTTATATAAAAATACCAAAAATAGGACTCATTCCTAATACAAAGTTATAACAAAAATAAAAATAAGACCTATTCCCAAGATCAAAGTGTATAATAACAAGGCTATAGTGACCAAAATATGGGACCAACTGTCCTCTTGACTTGTGGAAAGAGGCAGGGTTTATATATCTTTTTCTGATATATTAATTTACTATAGAACATAGTAATTAATTAAAGAAAAGCACCGTTTATTAATGAAATGACACTTTCTACTATAGAATGGACACCTTAGATAGTGGATAAACACTTTCAGATAGTGGATGGGTATCTTAGAATGATTAAAATTAGAGATTGTGCATCTTTTACTATGATAAAAGCATTTTTCTTTATAGGATAGGCACCTTTTAATATAACAAGGGCACTTTTACTATTTTGGATTTGTTTGGCTTTGTTTATCCTTAATGTGTTGTTACATTGTTCTAAGCTGTCAGAGGCACCATTTGAGTTAGGGTAACTTGGTTCGGGTTCTGTTTACATCAAACGAACTAATAAATTAAACAATTAAATAACTATTGCTTTAAATGGAATTCTGTTAAAACTATTCTAATAAAATTAATAATAAACTATCATTTGAGCGACTAAAATAAATAAAATATATTAAAAACTATATAAATAAACTAATAATACTATAAAATATACAATAATAATATAATAAAATTTAAGTAAAAATATAATAAATATATAATAAAAACTGTTAATAAAATTCGACTAATAAAAATTGTCTAATAAAATATATATAATCTAAATAAATTTGATTAATAAAATTTGCTAATATAACAATATGAATGTCTGCTCATAACCTGTAATTGGTATCCCCCATGATTTATATCTAGATATATTTCAAGTTTAGCACAATTCTATTGGCTGTTTCTAGAAAAAACCTGGTTTGGATATTTTTAAATTATAGCATACCCAGGTATCTTGCACAGTAAAATATAGTATGTCTACCCTACCCTTAATTTAGTTGATTAGAAATCATCTTTGTTATAAAATTAATGTTAGTAGATAATTATTCAATGATTTTACTGCTTCAAAAATTTTAAATCAATTAGTTGATAACTTGGCCAACTTTTCGATTAATCAACTTTTGAGTTGTTAACGACATTCATACAGGTCACCACTCTTGCTGATAGCTTTAATAAATGATTTTATTCTATAATTTTCGATAGGTAACGAGTATGATCTTTTTGTGATTAAAGATTATTTCATATTCTATAACTCTGGCGCATTGTAATACAGTTGTCCTCCCATAAAATCACACAGTTGGGCACATAGTAAATTTTTTTTCAAAATGTGCTTATATAGGAGTTGTGCTTATATGGAGGTCTTTTTCTTATAAATTGAATCATAGTTTGGCTTAAACATAAATGTGATTACATATGGTGTAATTATATGGAGGTGACTATATGGGGGGACGACTGTATATCATTTACTAAATATATATACTACGTATCTCATTCAGTTTATGATTTTTAGAATCGATCGAGTTTAGACATCTAATTAGACCTGAATCAAAATATGCTTACCACATATAACTATAACTATAATAGCAAACTGTTTAAAAAGAGCATTCGGGAGTTTTGTTAAAAATTATTTTACTAAGTCATACGTATTCAAAATAATAATCTATTTTAATAGACCTATAATATAATTTTTTTTTTTAGGGGCTTGAAGATTCTGATGCAGATATAAACCTGTTAATTATAAATGATCCAGATCAATGCTTGAATTTGTCGTACCTGTTAGTTATAAATGATCTAGATCAATGCTTGTCGTGTTCTTATCTAAATTATATATATATAATATATTGTAGATTCAAGTTTAGTATAGTGGTAGACAAACAAGCAAAAAAAAGCAGATAATCGGACATTAAATAATCATAGATCAAATCATTTAATTCTCACTGGAAGATCGGAATTCCCACTGGAAACATCATTGAATATAATCTACTAAAATAATCATATTATCTAGGTCATGGAGGGACGTACATTGTAGTCAGTGGCATATGGTGCACCGAAACGTGAAAAGTATTTTGGCAATCTTCGATCGGGAATTTATTACAAGTCACCAATTTGTATTGCGTACGTATTAACTGTTAATTTTGTTACGATAACACCAATTAAAATTGAGTATCATACTGTTCCATACCGTATATAAAAAATTTTTTTGAAAAAAAAGACCACTCAATTATTAAATAAATTATAAATTTTCGAATACCAATTAATTAGTTTGTATAATATTTATTTTATCTTTTTTTTTTTTTGCCAATTGTTCAAGAAATGTCCAAACTCGTGTCTAAGCTTTCGGTGACAATATGGGCTGCCGTCAATAGAAATCAAGCAAATCTACATTTGAAAAAATCAATACCTTAAATTTCATAGCTCATAACTCGATGAAATTTAAAGATATCTTGATGATTTAATATTCAAAAGAAAGCTTAGATCGTAAGCTTTCTTTTGAATATTAAATCATCAAGATACCTTTAAGATTCATCGAGTTATGAGCTATGAAATTTAAGGTATTGATTTTTTCAAATGTAGATTTGCTTGATTTCTATTGATGGCAGCTAGAGGTGCAGGCGAATCGTCCCAATGATGCCGTAACGTGCCGTAACTATATTAAATAATTATAAAAGGTTACGGCAAACATGCTGTAACTTTTATAATTATTTAATATAGTTACGGCACGTTACGACAAAGTTACGGCACGATTCGCCTGCACCTCTAATGGCAGCCCATATTATCTACACCTATTTAATTTGACGCGCAACATAAAGAACATCTGATATCATTCAAGAGATACAATTTCTAATTCCAAAGTTTGCAAAAAAGTAATTCTTTAGAAAAATAATGTGAAATTTTTTTTAAAATAAAAATAGGTTGCCGAATCACCTTTAAAAATCCGGGAAATTAACATTGTAAGAATTAAGAAATCACATATATAAAAATATCTTTAAGATTTGATTTTATTAAAATAAATATTATTTGATATTAAATAAATAAAACAATGCCAGAGCCTGTAGTCTCTTAATTCAAAAACTAGATTCAGGTGGAATGGTTTGTTTTGGATGTTTGGCCTACAACATAAAGTCAAAATTACAAACAAAAATTTTATATCGATATAATACACAAATATAAAAAATATTATCTACCTCCATATGTTGAACAATAACTTTATAGTTGGCAGCTGGAACCTAATCAGTTGTAAGTGAAATAGTTAATGAGATCATTAATTATTTGAGATAAAATAATTTTTACCTTACAAACAGGACATTTCATTTGTAGTCCTTTTGAGCGAGCTTCCAGTTGGGATTTGCCACCAGCCCTATTTTCGGCCAGTTTTTGAGCTTTTTCTCTATAAATTAATAGTCGGAAGCCACATAAATTGTTAAATAAATTTCGAAATATATATACTTGTGTAAAAATTCTGAAGCCTTTGCTCAGTAACGACGAAAATGCCTTCCTACCGTGCTTGTTCCTATCCGAAATTTCATAAGAAACAATCATATTAGCAATAATCATATTAGTTCTGAATACATACGCTAAAGTAAGTTGGACTAACCTTTTGCTTTCCTCTAACCATTTTCTCAAAAAAATAACAAACACGCTTAATGAGAACTGGAGACAAATAGTAGCCGCATAACGAATAACAATAGTTTGAACGATATAACAAACTTCTAGATCTGTGTCACGAATTGTGGCTCTTTTCCTTTTTTTTTCTTTTTTAGTAACACAATATTTTTAGATGATATTCTAACTTTCGAAATTTTAATTTGGTTAGCATACTTTTGAGTTGAGTTTTTAAATATGACCTCACGTTTTTATTCTCAATTTCTTCGTAACTTCACTAAAACATACTATAAACCAAAGTTTGGAAATTATAATATACACAAGGTATTAACCTCACAAGGTATCTTCTTTATAACATTCGTCTATTTGGAGCTATGGTAAACTTTTGATGCTTACGTTCATTTCATATGCGTAGAATTTTTTTCATGCGACGCGAATTACAAATGGTGCAACTGGATCACCACCTCCGGCAGAGGGCTTCATGACAGAAGTTACACAATCGAAATTGATAAAAAGTACTCGAGAAGAAGCTTTAAATAATTCAGAATTAGCAGAAACTAATGTTTCGCAAGGTATTTAGGAATTCTAGAAATTTTGATCTTTATTTATGACTATATAATAATCGATTTCCTCTGATATTAGGCGACACGAAGCAGATGAATATGTTTCAATCGATCAATGATGCAATGCGTATCGCGCTAGACACTGATGAGACAGCTGGTAGAACCAGAATTCTCTTAATGACAAATTTTTTATATATTCTAAATATTTTTGTTCACACTTTTAGTGATTTTTGGAGAAGATGTAGCTTTTGGTGGTGTATTTCGGTGCACTTTGGGACTTTCTGAAATGTTTGGTAGGTTGAATGATGAATAATTTTATTATTACATATTGAAAATTTGACATATATTTTTTTTTATCCATGGTAACAGGCAGAGATCGCGTGTTTAACACACCATTATGTGAACAGGGCATTGCTGGATTTGGCATTGGCATGGCTGCAATGGGACATACAGCAATTGCAGAAATTCAATTTGCGGATTATATTTTTCCAGCATTTGATCAGGTTTGATTTTTTTATGAATACTCTACATAACTATATATTTTTATTATTTTTATTTATTTTTAATAACATTATTCCTCTTTAAAAGCTTGTGAATGAAGCCGCCAAATATAGATATCGCTCAGGTGGTATATTTAACGTTGGTGGTTTAACTGTTCGTTCACCTTGTTCAGCAGTGGGACACGGTGGGCATTACCACTCTCAAACTCCAGAAGGTTATTTTGCACATACTCCTGGATTAAAGGTAAATAGTAATAATCATAAAAATACTAGTAATAATTTCATAACCACTATTCATTTTGAGCTTTCTGTTCATAAGAAACTATACTGTTTTTATAGATTGTCATGCCTCGAAGTCCAATACAAGCCAAAGGGCTTTTATTAGCATCTATAAGGGATCGAAATCCTGTTATATTTTTTGAACCAAAGATATTATATCGTGCTGCTGGTAAATTTTAATTTAACGTTCAGCCGGTTTAATTCTAATAATTAGCTAATATCGATGTTAATTAGTTGAACAAGTTCCGGTTGGTGATTACGAATTGCCTTTAAGTAAAGCAGAGATCTTAAAAACCGGTAAAGATGTTACAGTTGTTGGATATGGGTCGCAAATATATATTCTGGAAAGGGCTATACAAATGGCCGAGAAAAGTATACCAGGTTTATCATGTGAACTAATTGATTTAAGGTCAATTTTGCCATGGGATGTTGACACAATCGCAGAGTCTGTGAATAAAACCGGTAGATTAGTGATTTCTCATGAAGCGCCTCAGGCATCAGGATTTTCTGCAGAAATATCTGCGAGTATAATGGAGAAATGTTTTTTGAGACTAGAGGCGCCAATTCAAAGAGTCTGTGGATGGGAGTGAGTTTATAATTTATCAATCTTTAGAAATTTTTCTGCAGCGAATTTTTATAAATAATTATAAAATTTCCTTCTTTTAGTACGCCTTTTCCATTAATTTTTGAAAAATTTTATCTTCCCGATGCAATACGATGTTATGATGCTATCAAAGAGGTCGTGGAATATTAAAGACGGATCATTCAGGCTGATTTGAAAGATAATCCTATCCATTGTAACTTTTCACCAGAACCTGTTTTACAGTAGCTTCGGATGATGCAAATGGTGGTATATCTTTTACGAGTAGTCGTTGTCAAAAGTTGCAAAGGTAACAGAAAACGCACATTTGAAAGCTTGTATGTTGGCATCCTTTGTTAAATGGAATTATTACTAGTTGCGACTGGATGAGAAAGTTGCATCGTTATGATTGTATTAGTTATGTACGTAACGTTAGTTATGTAATAGATTTGGGTATATATCTTATATAATCGTGTGTATACAACTTAATTTTATAATAAAATGGAAAGTTTTTAATTTGATTTGTATAATATTAGCGTCAATGTTTTGGTTACGCGAAAACTTGGAAATTTAGTTAATAACATTATGATATTTCATTTTTTAACAAACTGATAACGATATTAAACAATTATTCAATTATTCTTTATTATTCTTTATTGTTTATATATTTTAATTCTTTATTATTTATATTATATTACATATATTAAAAAAAAAAAAAAAAAAAAAAAAAAAAAACAAAGGATACTTAGTTTCTGCTAATAAATTTAGCATACTCGTCCTAGTCACCACGTAGAGGTGTATCCGAGACTAGGTTTATAACAATCTAAAATTGTATCCTATAAAGGACGTATGCATCGAGTTACTGTTTTTAGAAAAACAGTATGGTCGTTATGACCACCCCACGAACGGTTCACTCTATACAAGCACGGCCCACCGAAGGCCAGGAGAATCCCTCCTCGAATGAACGGTTTGGGAACAGCGATGAAAAACTCATTGTTGTCCTGAGTTGACAAAAAAAATAAATCTAAATTTTACAAAAAAGCAAATACGTCAGTAACGATTAGTAACAACGTAAACAAAAAAGCAAAACGAAAAAAAAATTTGGGTTTAAGCTTAAATAAGTAGATCAGATCAATGGCCAATAGCAAAATAGGGGCATAAATCAAAACAATCACGATGATGAACCAATCAGATCGTCAGATCGTGAAATTTTGAAAACAGAGCGCGTATAGATTCATTGTCAAGATTAGCTTATCAATAGTTTTTATCAATTCATCAAGGTATATTTAAACATTACAGCATTATTTTCGCGTTTTTCTTTTGTTTTCATTTATTGTTTTGGTTGATCAAAGTTGAAATTTGATTGGTCAATTACGTGGTACACAAGTTTAATATAGTTAATTCTTGAAAATCGTAATTTATATATTTTAAAGTATAATCCCTCTTAATCCCACAACTTTTATATAACAAGTCACTATATAAAAGTATACGTAAGAGTAAGTAATTACGATGCACCAAACTACAAATTGTGGACTTTTGGGTGATAATAACCAAAGAAAAGTTAAAGGCAATGATTTAGTGCGTTAAAGTGTTAGTTTACGCGAACTTTTATTTAGATTATAAATGAGTCTTTTAAAAATATATATATACGTATTAATTAATAATAAAATGAACTAATTATAGGTATAATTTTTTTTGTACAATTTTTTAAGATAGAAATAAGAGCGTACATGTATAGAACTATGAAACCTTTTACAATAGCATAAATGTCGAGTGTTAGAGACTATATAATGTTGAGTATTAAAGACTATATAGTACGTATATGCTTGTACTGTACATCTGAGTCCTGGATTATATTTGACTAGCGTATGACCCGTGACTCCGGCACGGGTTAGGTGTAACTTTATCCGTTTAAGGTTTAGTAGTTACTTTAATATATCATAAAAAATTAATTGGAGTCTTTACTGACAAAATCATCCTTCGGGACTATGATTTACATAGTCCTGAAGGGTGATTTTGTTAGCAAAGATCCCAATTCTTTATTTTAAATAAGTGAAAGGTTTTAAAAAAAGAAAATCTTACAGAAAATTTGTTTTACTAAGGAGATAATGTTTTTATATTGAAAAGCTATAAAATTTGAAATTTTTGAGATTGATATAAAGAGGTTTATTACAGTATTATTAGATGCGCACAAAGTAAAAATGTTTATTAAATAAATTTTAAGTTTGTATGTAGTTTTTTTTAAAAGTTTTTTCATATGTTAGGGTTGACTCAAGTTGAAATGAAAGTTTAATTTAAGTTGATTTTAAATTTGGTATCGATATCGTTAATTTTAGGGGAATTTATAGATAAGGGCCTAAAAGTAAAAATAATTACAAATAAGGGCCCCAAATGAAAATAATTACAGATAGAGGCCTGATATTTGAAAATTATTACCAATAAGGGCCCAAAATAATTATACGTTTAAGATCCTATGATTTAAGTCCCGTTTCGATGATTTGAATATGATTGTTAACGCATAAGAAATGTAATAATAATCAATTAGTGATTCGAATAGAAATTAAAATAAACTGTTTGCTATTTGTATTGCAAATGAAGCCACTTCATGCTTTTTTACTATTTCAGCTAACAAGCACAAAGATGGCTACATTCATATAGTAAGACTGATTCCTCCTGATCCAACTTATGGAAGCATTCAAAACACGTGGATCATACTTTGTAAAGTTTACTGCGTCATTAGTTAAAAAAAAAATATAATAGTATTTCGATCTCGTGACATTATAAATCGTGTTCGTTCTGAAGTGGAGGCCGAAACATCATACATAGTAGCTTGGAAAATTAAGGCTATTAGGGCACACAAAGTTAATTTTTTGTTTTGCATTAAATGGATTTCAAAAATCTGGTTGGTCGGATTTTTTTTTTTTGAATAATGAATGATAACTCTAAAACACTTATTTAATCACAAATAAAATGATATCGTTATGTTAGCAATTTTGACGATATATTTCCAACTTTTAATGCTTCTCTAATATCAGACTGGTCTTTAATATATTTAATAATAGTTATATGGTTACAATACTGCTACTTCGCTTTAATTCCTTTAACTCTCCCCACGAAATCTATAAACATTATAACCTACAACTTCATATTATTAACCTATATTATATACAAGTTTTTTTATTAGTTTGGATTACAAAGCAAATAAAAGGAGTATAAATTGCTGTGTTTGATTTATTGCACCTATAGGCCAAACACAAACGTTTAAACATGCTTCTCATCTGACTTCCGAATTACTTCGTGAATTACCGAATTACTTTTACAGTTTATAAAACGAGACATATACTTTAAGATTTTATTAGTCGCAACTTTCTATAATTCGTTTTCATGGTGTACAATTGGTTTAAAGTTGACTAGAGGGCTGTTCTAATAGTATAACATTCCGATCTTCTAGCCAATCAGAACGCAAGCCCGCTATGCTGTTGTACCCGAGTTAAGATCCTAGCGTCACCAACTTAAAAAATTTCGCTAAAAAAAATTTCGCAGTTAAATTAAGGTTAGGTTTTGCTAT